TAATGAAACTTTGACAGAATACTTGAAAACAAATAAATTTAAAGTAATCAGTTGTTTTGTGGCAAAGTCTCATTTGGGAAAAGGCTTCAGAATATGTATTGACATCAATAATTCAGATATTCATAGATTCTTTCACAGATTCTGCTCTCTGGAATGAGGACACAATCATTCGTGAGTGGGTTTTCAAACCAAATAATAATATTGACAAAAAGAATAAAAATGAAATTAACATTGATGGCAAAAATGATGTAACTTTAAAAAATTAACAAAAACATGATGAATAACACACAAAGCAAAAATAATATATCAGATAAACACCTCAGTAACAACGACTCATATTATTACACTGTTGAGGAATTTTCTAAAAATATGTTTGAACTACAAAAGCATATCGGCAGTAATTTTATCTCAACATTACATTTAAATGCTCGTAGTCTGTTTCACAAATTATTGAATCTGGAGATCTTATTGAAACAATTTGATTTTATCTTCAAAATTATTGTAATATCTGAGAGTTGGTCGATGGAACGGCTGATTTAATTAAATTAAATAATTACAATTTCGTATACAAGAATAAAAGAAATAGACGCGGAGGCGGTGTTGGAATGGTTATAAAGGATGATGTAAAATATGTTGTAAATGAAAGCAACATATTCGATGATGACAACGTTGACATACTTTGCGTGTAATTTGAATTGCATCAAGCCTCACTACATAACATGACCAAGATAATTGCCATCTATCGACCACCTAGTTATAAATATGAGTCTTTTTTAGATAAAATTGAATCGATACTAAATAGTTTATAAAATAAAATTTTCATTGTCAGAGATTTTAACATTACTCTGACTTTGAAAAGGAACATAAATAAGAGAAACATTTCCCTAATTAAGGAAGCCCTAGCTCTATCTTCTGAAAAATAGGATTCAATAACGGATGAGAGTAACATTGACACCTGTTGCATGAGTTTTTATAATCAATTAAATAGAATTCTTGATACTTATGCCCCATTGCAACCGCTGAAACGAAAACATAAAAAGCCATGGGTAAGTGATGAAATAATTAAATTATCAAAGAAACAAAATAAACTCTATAAAAAAAACAATTTCAACACCTACTACAGAGAATATAAATAAATATAAGCAATTTAGAAATTATTTTACATCATTTAAACGAAAGGAAGAAAAAAATTACTTTAGTCAAAGATTTAATGATGCAAAAAGTTGTTCAAAGAAAAAGTGGGAGATAATAATATTTTATTAAAATTAATCAAAATTTGCTTGAAAATCAAACAGTTAATGAATCTTTAAAAATAAACAACTACATTTGTAAATCCATATACATTAACTCCACTGATGAACTTGAGGTATTAACAGTCGTCAAGAATCTTAGCAATAAAAAAAGCACCTCTGATGACTCATTAAGTAATTATCTCTTAAAACAAATCATCTCAGAAATTGTACATCCAATAACACATATATTCAATTTGTCCATCAATCAAGGAATATTCCAAAATGCTTCAAAGGAGTATTCCCAAAATGCTGCATTTAGTACAAAACATATTAAATAATCTGAATAAAAAATCCTAACCATAGGTGTTTTCATAGACTTGTCCAAGGCATTTGATGTTATTAATCATGAGATATTGATAAAGAAATTATACTCCTATGGAATAAGAGGAATAGCACATACATGGTTCATAAGCTATCTGCAAAACAGAAATCAGTAAGTGTCAATAAAAAATAAATCTTCAAATAAATTAAATATAACTTCAGGAGTCCCACAAGGATCAATATTAGGTCCACTTCTATTTATAATTTTTATGAATGATTTTCATCTGGCTACTGACGCTCATCATCTTCTGTATGCAAATGATACTAACATTTTCTTCTCAACTAGCAATACATCAAACGACGTAGAGATAATTAATAAAAGTTTAGATGATGTTTCAAATTGGTTCATCAATAATAAACTAATTGTAAATTTTTCTAAATGCAACTACATTCTATTCAGTCCAAAAATATTGACTAACACAATACTTATTTAGATATAAAAATGAATAACCATAGCATCCCACGCACATCCAGCACAAAATTTCTCGGAGTGATAATCAAGGAAAACCAATGGCGGATTAACCTTTTTGCCGCCCCAATTTTAAATTTTATAATAAATTTAGAAATTAAATTCATATAAACGCAATATTTTTAAAACATTTTTATTAAGTACATTCTTTAATAATATTCATGTAATGTAATATTATCAATCTTAAAAAATAAATTTTCTTTCATTGCAGTTTATAAAAGTTATTTCAAAACTTTACGACGTGCCTTCCTGCGCGCAAATTCATCAATAACTAAATTAATGTCTAAATCTTGCAAAATTGTTTTTTCGTTTAAACAAGAAAAAGATCGCTTGGCCGAACAGTTTGTAGCAGGAGTACAAGTGTACATCCGAAGTGCAATTTCTACATTTGGATATACACAGTGCAAGTCATTCAATCTTACCCATTTACACAAATCAATTGGAGTGTGTGGAACTGCATTTTGGTCTAAGGTAGCCAAATGAGACTTTTAATGCAACAGTTCAGTATTTAAAGTGTCGTCTAGATCGTTTGGAAATAAAGAAATTCTGTTTCATTGTCAACTGATTCGTCGTAATGCCGCTTCCGTTTTCTTAATGGCGGTACCTTGTTGTCAGATGTTAAAGTACCTGGCACACGTCCCAAAAGCCGTCCAAAGAAGTCCTTGTCGCAAACAATCGAGCAAGACATGAAAGCTCTAAATTTAAATGAAATGAATACAACTGATCGTCTAATTTGGCGCAAAAAGGGGTCTCATGGCCGAGTGGTTAGCGTGTCCGTCTACCACTCCCACGCCCCGGGTTCGAATTCTGCAGTTTCTACAGATTCATTCGGGTAGCCGACCCCCGGTCAACCCAGCCGTCCATCCTTTCGAGGTTGGTAAATGGGTAGACGACGTAAGTTGTCGCATGCTGGCTGGCGAGATGGCTCGGTGGTTCAAATGCTCGCTGAGTCAAACATCTCAATGGCTATCATATACTCAGCGTATATGATGCGGTGCTTGCGCGTGCACATAAATATATGTGTACGTCGTGTGAAAAGGATAAACAGCCTTTGTGGCAAAAGATGGCTGCTTCAAATCAATAGATGAAGAAAAGAAGAACATAATAAAAGATATATAGATAACATAATATATCTGTAACATTGTAAGTGGTTCTGCGTATGTCAGAGCTGCAATAATAAAGACTAATAAAAAAAAAAAAAAAAAAAAAACTTGATGGCAAAGAAAATAACGTCCTACCTCGGGGAACTGGGTCGCTGGACGCTAAACGAAGATTGATTGATTGATTTATTGCTGTAACTGCTGTAATGGTTGGGTTAGGCATTGTGGGCAGGAAAATATACATTAACTGACTTATGCGCTGTAGGCTTGAACGGCTTCTGTTATGTATCTTTAACGTTGGTGGGGGATGAAATTGGTGATGAACTTTGATGAACTATTTTAACGTTGGTAGGCATGAAATTACACTTTTTTTGCATAACAGTTAGGTTTTAGGGTAAGGATTATTATACTTTATAACAAACTTATAACAAACGTCAATTTAGCGTTTCGTTACTGTTGATTTGCAATGCAAAACTAGGCAAGGCAAACAATCGTTTGTTTTGGTGGCTCTGAAAAGAGCCGTTTGAGTGGTCGCTCTGAACAAAAGTTCACAATTTTCAAATGCTTAAATGTTTAATATTTAAACGCTAGAGATATTTTGCTTTTGCCAACTTTAATGGTAGTTCTAACCTTTACCCTGACGCATTTCAAATTTTATTAATCTAAAACAGAGTGCATAGCATTGAATTATATAATTCCATGGTGCATAGTTTTATTATTAGTTTAAGTTCACTTTTTATTTTATTTATATTCTCACTTCCCTGCTTATCTCACAAAAATATTGGCTTGCATTGTCAAACAAGTATACTTCTGCTGAAGAAGGATGTCATCATCGGAAAGGGTGAGCCTTTTGATTTGTTGCTTAAAATGATTAGCTTAATTTAATTTTAAAAACTGAAAGACAGGAAAAGAAGTCTTAGCTTGTTAGGGCTGGTTAACACACTACTATGCACTTGGCGGCCATATAAAATTTTAAATAAATAAATTATATATAATATAAAATAAAGTTAGCAATGGTCAACAACGACAGATTTAACAACCAAAGCTTAAAAATAGCTTAAAGTTGGGGGCGTACACGTTGAGCAAAAAAAGGATCAGGTGCATGAAGTTAGTCAAGGATATATGGGTGTTGTTTAATAAAACTCAAATAACTCGAAAATTAATATTTAATACGCCGAACCTAGCGACACGGCGGCCGTTTCCGAACGTTAAAAAATTATAGAAACGGCGGCCGTTTCCAAACGTTAAAAAATTATGGAAACGGCGGCCAATTTTAAATGTTAAAAAGTTTTATAGACACGGCGGCCTTACGCAAAAAATTGTGGTCTTGGCGGCCGTTTTTCAATAAAGTTCGCTCACCTTACGTGGAGGTACATGGTATGCTCCAAAAATCATCTAATTAAATTACATTTTTTAAACAAATGTTTTCTATAAATATTCGCTTCTAGTGAATCTAATTGATTTTGAATGTTTTTTTATGTGTTATAATTACAGGTTGCTTTTTTTACAGATTACACATTTATTATATTATATCTGTACTGCTTATTTGTTTTAATTATAATTTCTAAATTTTTTTTATAGCACATTTAAGAAAATTCATAAATTGTTAGAAATGTCACTTATCCGATTAATTTTAAATACAACTTTGAATTGCCGGATGAGTTTTTAAACTTTCAAAACGTTTCAGGCGAATTGTATTTATTTAACATTGAAAGGAATTACGACGACAAAATACAAATATATACACTAATCTACAATATAGTTTATATCCAATAATATACAGTCATACATAAAATGTTTTATTATATTGTTCAGCTATTATTTCCTGCATGCTTTACAAAACCATTCTTTTTTACTTGGAGGCCTTTTGATGCCTGCACAAGAAAAGTGGAACCACTTGAGACAGGAATCACAGGAAACACTTCGAACATCCCTAAGATCATTGCTACAGGTTCCACACATCCATTCTTCATTGGAACATTTATTTATCATTTCTTTCAAAACATTTAGATCTAAAAAATCTTTCAATAAATATAGACATTCTTGTACTTGTCCATCTAAGAACTGACTTGGTACTGATTGAATATTGCTAATATTATAATCTTGTCCACTACCAAATAACCATTGTAATATCAGTTTTTGCTTTTCTCTTGTTGGCTTCGAAGCAAAAGATATAGATTTGCAATGTTTTGAAGGCATGCCTAAACAGGTTAGGCATGCCTCCTTTTGGTCGACCTCTTGATTTAAAAGCTCGGGGTAAAAGAAGCTCTGAACATGGCAATGATGATGATTCTGTTGCTCCTGGTATTTTTTGAAAAATTGATAAGACCTTATCAACTTGGTTTTGCGATTTGTTTTTTTCTCTCATTGACGTTTTTATGTTTTGAACATCAGCACTTGTCACAACTTTTCCAGATACCTGCGAAAGATACTCTTTCACCTTAGTGGGATTGGCTCCCATACCGATCATCAACTCAGCTTGTTGTTTCTCTTCCTCGCATAATTTTCTTTGCTGTGATGTGTGTTGAAAAGTCTCTGGAACTATTACATGATTATGATCATTTATGATTGATCTTACAACTAATTTATCACCATTCTTATTTGCTCCAAGAACTATTTTTGCTGGAAAATCACGTTTGATGGTACTGAAAAATAAATTATAACATTTACCATTACTTATATGAAAAAAAAAATTCAAAAATGAAAATACTTTTGATTAGGCCTTTTACCCGATCCTTTGCTTTTATAAGAGCCATGGTGTTGACAACCCAGCTTAATTTAGGAATACATCAGATCATCACTGAAGTATAAATAAAGGTAAGATTGTAAATAAAATATATATGATATAATTATAACAATAATATGATCTAATAATAATCTTTCACAAAACATGAGAGGTTAGATACTATAAATAAGCAATGAGTGCAGTGTGGTCATAATCTTTTTTAGTTCCTTATCCTGTAATTATTTACCAACAATTTGTCATTACTTGGTTTCAACAAACTAAATTACTAAACAAAACCTTTGTGCCAAAAACTACAACTCAGCACTACACAAAAAGCATTTGATTTTTTACAATTATAAGCACACACGTGGCATATGGCAGTTTTACTCAAACTGATTATCATTGTGTAATAGACAATACAATTAGTGCTAATTTAGTGACAACGATATGTTGTGATAAAAAAGTGTGCTAATTACAAAATCAACCAGTTACGAATTATGACAATTTTTAACAAAATTATTAAAATAATTATCATAAATAATCATAAATTGCTCACCTGAATGTTTTATTGGGTTGCTTCTTTCGTGCTCTTTCCACCGTTGTTGGATCAGCAACAGTATAATTAACAAATGATTCTTTTTCATATTCAGATAATTTTTTCTTAAAATCTATAAAACTAACAAATTCTTCTCCTTCAACAAGCGACATAATAAACAAAGTAACAAGAAAATTTGTGTCAAAATTACTAAATTACTAAAACACTTTAAATCTCAACACGGAGCACGAGGAGCAACAATGGAGAACGAAATGTATAACCAAAGATACTCTATATATTGCGTCACAAAATTACGTAGTAAAAGTTGGTTACGAAGCGTATGTTTAAAAAACTTATGTTAAAAAAATAAATTTGTCACTATATCTAAAGAAAATATAAATATGAAATGAATATATTTTGATTTTTTTTTGCCATTTTTCAAATTTTTAGCGGGCTAAAAATTTATATAACCGGTCTGTAATATTTTTACGTTCAGAAACGGCGGCCGGGTCTATAGTTACTGTGTATTTAATAATCTACTGAAATTTTCAGGGTTTATAAAAAATTAAAAACATATATAATTGCTAATCATTCTAATCTAATCTAAGTACATTTGATGAAAATTTTAATAAAATATGAAGTTGAGTTTTTGTTAAAATAATTTTTCAAGCAAAAAACAATAAAACCAATAACCATAACCATAAAAAAACAGATTTTTATAAATGAAATTTAACTGATTATCTAGAGCTTGTAAAAATTCTAGGGTCTATTAATGATGAATCCATGTGTGAATAGTGCAAATTTAAATAATTTCTGATGTTCAGTTTTTGTAAGAAATTTTCACTTTCATAGTAAAAGACCATGATCAATCAAATTTATTTCTGAATCAAAGTTTTTTATAAAACACTTTTTAAAATTATTCCAGCCAAAGATATTTTCAGCCAAAGATTTTGTTATCAGTTTTTAATAATAAAACTCCATTAACTTGCAAATTAATAATCTAGGACCTGTGAAGTTTTCAAGGTTTGTTAACAATATATCTAAAAAACTTTGGTGAAAACTTTGATAAAATCTGAAGCTCCGTTTTGTTAAAACAATTTTTCATGTTTCATGCAAATAACCATTAAAAACGAATTTTATGAATAAAATTTTGACTTATCATCTAGGGCTTGTAAATATTTAAGGCATAGTTGAGGCAATGTAGCCAATTCGCAGTGATAATGAGTACCAAAGTACTTTGATACTTATATACATATGAAAATCTGCACTTAAATACTTATACTTGAGTACTTTTATCAGTTTTTTGTTACATTTCTCAATATTTCTAACCAAATTCTTTTTTTTACTGTTATCAGGTTGTTCGGAAAGTAATTTAATTTTTTTGTGGTAGAAATGATAGACAACCATCGTATAATAAATAAATATTTAATTATATTATATATTGGCCATTCTGATCCTAAATCTTTTGCTATTTTTCTGGTAGTAGCATAATTCCACTCTCATAAAATTTTTGGACTGCTGGCAAAAAACTGTTCCAAGTGATTTTTGACATGTAAAAGCTCAAATAAAGTGACTCCTTTAAAATCTCACCAAACATACAGGCTGGATATCGGCTTTTGAAATGTTTTGAGCTGGCTCATCTTTTCTGCTCCATAACCGTTTGCGTTTGACACCTATTTTTCGTTTCCACTAATGATGCGCCTCAAAAATGGATCATTTTCGTGACGTTTGGGGAGTGAAGCAAGACGTCAATGCGACGACACAAATTTCTCTCCGTGACGATGTGGGGATCCCATATATCAAAGCTTCGAGGTTAAAACCAGTCCTTTCAGGTGGTCATAAATAGTTGAATTCAATAAATTTAACCTCTCACCGATCCCATGTGTTGTTATTTGCCGGTTTGCATCAACTAATGCCTTTATCGTGTCTTTATCAGCTGCAAACTGCCTTCCAGAACGTGGTGCATCTTCGACATCAAAATTGACGGATCAAAATTTCGCAAACCAGTTCTGGTACTGACGTACTTTCAACACATCTTCTCCATACACATTGGTTAATTTCTTTTTGTCTGCATTGAACAACATTTTTTCATTTTCTTTAGTAAAATAAGACGAAAATGCTGCTTATCGCTCTCCATATGTTAAATGGCACCAACCAAAAACTACTGCATAAAATCTTTTGAACTCATTCCCACACAAGCCACAGCTGTCAAAACATATGACAATGCGAGTGTGAAGTTAGCTGTGAAAAATTACAATTAAATCCTTTGTCAGGAAAAAACTAAATTACTTTTCGAACATATAAAATAGAATAGTATACAGTTTTATTCTTGAGTGTTTAGGATATATTTTGATTGTACATTGTACAATCATCTTCATCACTTGCCGTTTATATAGAGAATTTGTATAACCCAGGCCTTTGTTCCTGTGATTAGCATTTGTTGTTGTCAGTGACTTTGTTAATTTTACAGTTTTCTTTTCTAATTGATATGGTTTCTTTGTTCAGGCTAATTGCTTTGGTGATATAGGTTATACAAGTTTTCTATATAAACCGCAACAAGTGTCGAAGATGATCGTAGGATTGAAATAGGTCCTGTACACTCAAGAATGAATTGGAAAACTGTATACTATTCTAATTGTAATAAAATATATAATGACAAGAATTTGGTTAGAAATATTAAGAAATGTAACGATAAACTATCCAACGCTAGAAATTAGGTAGATTTCACACACAAACACACACACACACACATATATATATAACTACTAAATCAAGTGTACCACCGAGAACATGTGTTGACTCATTGATGTAATTTGTTAATTGGAACATTTCAAACACTTCAATCAAATTAACGGTATGTCGATCTTTGTTTATTTCAACTTTTATGTTAAAATCACCAACTTAAGATTGTAATATTTTCCAAAACACATATGAGTTCATCGAAAAATGTAGAACTGACTTGAGCTGAACCTGGTCGGTATAACGCCAATAAAACAAAGTCTTTATTATTTATGATCATTTTAATAGCTACAGCCTCGAACGTATATATATATATATATATATATATATATATATTTATATATATATATATATATTCTAAAATATATATATATGTATGTATCATTTTAGCAATAGTAAATTAATTGAAGAAGTCATTCAAAAAACAAACACGGAATTAGCACATGTTATGTCTTGGTTCTCGGATAACAGGCTAACAATAAATAAAACTAAATCGCAGATGATAATATTTGGACCTGTTCAGTGTTCAAATTATAAGGAGCCTTACAAAATCGTGATAAATGAAAATGAAATTTTAGAAAGTAAAACAATAAAATTCCTTGGAATGTATTTGGCTTGACTTTCAAAGCGCATATTCAGCACATTTCCAACAAATTAGCTCAATCGATAGGTGTAATTAATAAAATAAAATTCTACCTTTCGAAAAAATGTTTGAATCTGCTTTATAATGCTATCTGCACACCTTACATAAATTATTGTAGCGTTGTGTGGGCTGGCGCGTATCCTTCAACAACAAATTCAATTAAAATTCTGATGAAGAGAGCAGTAAGGGTGATAACGCTGTCTAAACAATTCACCCATACAAATCAATTATTCTTCTCCACTAATAATTTAAATTTGGATCGGATCAGTAAATATTACACAGCCATTTTTGTCTTCAAGCAACTGTCCAAAAAGCTTCCTCCAACGTTTGACGAATATTTCAAAGTAGTCGACAACCCTAGACGTGTCAATTATCTGATGAGCAACAAGTCGCGAACAAATCTGTTGCATTCTCATGTTGTCTGAAGAGGACCAAGGATTTGGAATGACATTTAAAAAAATGATTTTTCTTTCAACGGAACATCACTTACTATGTTCAAAAAGAATTTAAAATTGTTTTTGTTAAATTTTAATGACAGAGAAAATTTGTAAAAAAAAAAGAGATGACGTTTTATTTAATTTTAATTTCTGGTTATTTGTGTACATTTGGGTTCAGGTGGCTGCGCTAGATGAGCTCTCTATGAGCTTTATTACAGTCATCCTGGCTTCATTTTTTTTTAAATGAATAAAAGATTGTATTGTATTGTATTATATAAATATATATGTATATATATATATGTATATATATATATATGCATGCCGAGTATATATATATATTTGGTGAGTAATAAACACCTAATATTTAGAGGTAGCTCAATGATGTCAAAGTTTATTGTACATCATATTAAAAGCTAACTTTTATAGTAATGTGTGTTGCTTAAAGAATATTGTTTTATAAGCTGGTGTTTATTTAGACGTTTATGTACAATAATGTACAATAATGTACTTTTCTAGTCCTAACTTGATAAAAAAAAGACACCCTAGTACAGCTATTGTAACATTAATGGTTTTTTTTATATCACCGATTCATGTGCTTAGCCAAAATTGCATTGCACAACATGTTAAGTGTTGTTTATTATTATGTTGTGTATTTCAGATTGATTAATTATGGCTGA